AAATAACACGTCTTTGATCCCCAACTTCAACCAATAACTCGGATCCTCCCCTATACTGCACAATTTAAAAGTCAAAGTCAACAAGATCATGTAGGATTCTAAATTGTTTCTTTTTTAGTTAATGGACTTGATAGACACATGACTTAATCCAGTAAGCTATATGTAATTGTTTCTTCTTATAGACTTAATGCAGAAAGAACGACTTGATAAAGAAATTATGGGAAATGAGCTTTCATCAATTAAGTCTTAACTTTTTACAAAAATGCCCTCTGTTTTTCCCTTTCATTTCACAATTTTACAAATAAAAAGAAACTTGTCCTTACTTGGTATAACTTTATTTCAGACTTGTCAAAACCAGGCATGAGAAGGGTAACAGATTTGTTTGCAGGATCAAATGTCACAGGCTGCAATTGCAAATATCCACTTGACCTACTTTCCAATCCACTTAGAAGATTTCGTGCATCATTACTTTTTCCACTTCCCAAAATACCCTCCCAGTCTAACGGATCTTTAAACAAAACAGGAGGATACGATGCAAAAGGCAAGGGCAAAAACGTCTTTTTGGCATTCTCTAGACATTCATCACCACAACTTGAATTTGTCACACCAAATGCACCGGAAACAAGTGCTCCAGATTGAACAGCACATCCCCAGTAACGTAATGCAGCATTTAATGACATTGGATTGTTCATATCCATCACTAAATAGCACCCGAATAACTCTGGATTTGTGATGAAAGATGACCCTTTCTGCATACATAGAATCAAACCTGGCTTAATGTATTAAGAGTTAAGACACCACATTTTACTTATTTGCCCTTGTTATCTTTTCCACCCAACTCCTCACGTGTTAAAACTGATTCAGTTGTTGGTCAATTTATTTCTGTAATAGGTTAAGCATAAACCTAATTTTGGAAAGATGAAAATTAAAAGAAGAGAATTTGATACCTCTAACATGTGCTCTAATTTATCCCATATTTCTCCACTAAGTTGCCCATTGAATCCAGAACTACTAGTGCCTCCATTAAAAGCCTCATTTACAAGTCTCATTATCGAGGGACCCGCCAACCTCCCCAAATCGGTTTTTTCAGCCAACTTTCTCAAAAATCTCAAATACAATCTACCACAAATACATCATCATACATACATACATACATACATACATACATGAATAAAGAAGAAGAAACTGAGAAAGAGAGATTTGAAACCTTGATTTACCAGTTGCACCTATCAATCTTATTGTTTCTTCAGTGCTTATACCATCATATATGACTACATCAAAGCTATTCTTTTGAGTTTTGTTCCTTAAAAATCCTACAAGCTTTTCAAGTTGCAATGCTGAAAAGATTGTATCCATTCCAGGAAGAACACCAAACTCTTCTCCCACAACCTACTCCACAATGTTGTATACGATTTCATCAAGATAAATATTGTAATCATGGAAAAAGGATGAAAAGATTGAATTTTTAAAGGAAGAAAATGATAATGGTCACGTACCCACCCCTTCGAGGACTCCTTGTGTCATATTGAGACGAGCATCAGCTTGTTTTAATTGTTTAAGTGGTTCAAGAATCATCTATTATTGTGAAAAGTGAAAACACACAATAAGTATATCATCTATTAGAAGATAAAATAACAACAAAGGGGGGGATAGTACTTTTGTAGTCTCCAATCTGACAGCTGAAAGATTGTCATTGCAAGTAACAGGAGTTGTTCCAATCTTACAGTTAAGTATATAATCTGCAGTGGGATCTTGCGAGTGTATGACCAAACATGTTTTAAGCCCAGCCATTGCATAATGCTGTGAAGAGATGAAGTTAATCAACATACCATATTGGAATTATGTAATCGAAGATACTTTTGGGTTTTCACTAGATTCAATTCGAATCCAACAATTACTGTTTTACATAATTGCCAAGTTGACCTAAATCCCAATTAAGATCAATGGATATCCATCAATCGATTGAGCAAGAAACTGAACACTCGTCTCTAACTTTTGGAAAAGATGCAGAGGGAGTAAGTAAGAAATGGAACCTGAGCAGCAAATATGGCGGAAAAGGTTTTACCAGAACCGCCTTTACCCAAAAACGTGACGAATTTTGTGGGTTTTGGGTCATTATCAGCATTCGGTGTTGTTGAATTTTTCGCCATAGATATGGTGAGAAATCTTCGCGGCATTCGTCGGACGAGGATATGATTGGAGTTGGAATGGAATTGAGGCCGGGAAGACGATGAATGTAAAAGGGTAGGTGGATTACAGAAAGCCATTTTTGTAAACAAGATGATCCGAAGAGCAGTTTGGTAGCAAGTAGGAAGTAGGAACTGATGAAATTGTGGGTACATATAGCATAGCATGACCTATAATACCAGGGAACAACGGGAAGTCGGGAAGTACTGACCTATCCAGTATCCACCACTGTCGGTAAAACAATTTTCAGTTTACAGCAGAATATATAATTTTAAGGGTTTTTAATTTTTATCATAAATTGGGAAAATGGGTAATTATTTTTTGATCTCGTTGAGGTTTAACTGTTTAAGTGATTTCTTTTATATATTTGATTATTTAATTTGTTAAATATATTTATATATTATCATTTATTGTCATATCTTATTTCAAGTGGTAAAATATGAATACATCTGAATGGTTTAAAAAAAAAGTTGTTTAAATGTAAATAATTTTTTTTTAATTTTTTAAAACTTTTTATAATATTTTTATGATATTTTTTTACTTATTTTTCCAATACAATGTTTCAAACTTTGTTTATATTTTTTTAAGCTTTTTTTTTTTATATATTTTCATATAAATTTCAAATATTTTCTAAATGTTTTATTACAAGTTTTTAATTTTTTTTTCTTTTTTATATTTACATAAAATTTTGTTATAACTTTAATACAATTATTTCTAAACTTTCTTTTACAACATTTTTAAATCGTTTCATAGATTTTGTATGAAAATTTAATATTTTTTGGAACATTTTAAAATATTTTAGATAAATACTAGTTTAGAACGTTGTATTAAAAAAAATAAAAAGTTTATAAACTGTTAATTAAAAAGTATAAAAAATAGTTCTAATAATTTTTGTAACGTCCCAAAAATTTATAATAAAATTTTCAATGTGGAAAACTCTGGTAGATGCGGTGCAGTCACGTCGGGCTCTTCACTTTCGTACCCAAAGTACCTGAAACCATAAACATAAAACCGTAAGCATAGCGCTTAGTGAGTTTTCCAAAATACCACATATCATACATATAATAGAGATTGATATGTGCTAACCATAGTCTTGTCATTATGCCACGAATCGTATCATGGTCTTCCCTTTCCAAGATAGGGGCCAAAACCCTGGGTCTTACAGATAAGTGCCAAGAGCCACCTTCTGGTCTTCTATTCAAGAATCATAGAGACAACTAGCATTCTTCATATAACTGTCAAGGTCCATACCCTGGTTTTACATACAATTTTTCAGGAGCCATGTATAGGTCTTTCATACATATGCCAGGGGTCACCCCTGGTCTTCCTATATAACATAAACCAGTGGGCCGACATTGGTGATTTCGACCCCCAAGTATAGTGAGGAGACTCACCTGAATCACAAAGTCAACTAACACTCAGCTCAAAACCACACCGACCACTGCTAACTGCTTTCTAGCCAAATGATGAGTGTTAAACACTTCCTAACAATCCACACAAGGCAAACCCTAAGTCTACCTTCTAAAACAAAGATTAAACAAAAGTTAACCCAAACCAAAAGTCAATGGTCAAAGTCAAAGTCAATTGCCTAATATGCCAAATATTCAGCCTCACGTCATGACTAGCCCTTGGTCACGTCATAAGAGCTTACTCGGTTCAATTCCAACTCATCTCGACTCAAACTAGCCAACTCAGTCAAGGAAATCCACTTGAGTTGACCTCATGACGTGAGCAGCCTTCTCTCATGTCGTAAGCCTCAAAAGCTCGACAGAAACGGGATCATTCAACCCTAATGTCGTGAGCACGGTCTGAAGCGAAAAATCCAACAATTTAAGTCCTTAATCTGCTAAGCTTTTTACCCTAACTTTCCAGAAGGTCTTATAACTCCATAATACACTTAAAAATTGATGCTTTATGGGCATGTATGTCCAATACATGTCTAGATCTCATTTGGGACCAATATTGAAGAAAATATCATCCAATTTTTATGCAAGGTTCCAAAACCCAACCATTCACTAGATCTGAACTTCATGGCACACTAAGGACCTTTATAACCCATAAAGTACCAACTTTATGGTTTCTATTCATTACAACTTGATTAACCAAGGAGAAAAATGGCACAAAACTTAGATCTAGCCACAAACAACAATAAAGGTGGAAGCTTTGACATTAACAAGGGTCAAGAAGCGATGTGCGGTGATGATGATGATGATTACTGTTTGATTAGGTGTCTAAGCCCATAACTATATTTGGTATGTGCTTGAATTGATAGTATCTTAGTCCTTTTGGGTTGCCTTCACACTAGCAACTAGACATGATGATTAATTGAAAAGGAGGAAGAATTTATTCATTTGATTAATAAATTGAAATAAATGATTTATTAATGTATTATGGAAATAATATATTAATTAGCAATCATATTATTAATTAATAGTCAATCAAAAATTATTTTTGAATTAATTTTGGGATTGATTGTATTAATTAAAAGTGTAGGGGTCGTTTGGTAATTTATTAATAGTTGAGGAAGACGCCCTAGAACCCTCCTAAGAGTCTTGGATGAAAATTTTCTAAAGAGCCTCTAGAATTTTCGGCCATAGGCTATCTTATGGAAGGTTTAAGTCTTGCTTGGTCCTTAAGTAAAGCAATTAGGGTTTCCTTATCCCAACCCTAGTTTTGGCTATAAGTCACCTCACTATATAAAGACCCTTTCACTTATGATTTTCAGCCACCTTTAAAATCATAGAGAGTTCTAGCCGAAATCTAAATCTTCTTCTTCCTTCTCATGACTCATCTTCTTGATAAGTGTGTTTGTGAGCCATTAGAGGTATTACACTTGTGATACTTTCTCTCAAGCTTCAAGATCTACAAGGTTTATAGATTGTTATTACTACAAAACAATCAAAGGTATGTATATTAATTGTTATCATGTGATTTTAGATTATAATACAAATACCTAGGGTTTGCATGTTGTTGTTTATATTGTATGTTCAATTAGAGAAGACATAGATCAAATTAGGGTTGCATGCACACATAGGATTGTATGTTTATGTGAAAACCCATCAGTGGTATCAAAGCATAGGTTTAGTCTTCTATTGAATTGATACTTATATGAACTTGAACAAGAAAAGTGTTTCGAATGTGCATTCTGTTCATCTAATACGTCGTGGAGATCTTCCTATACGACATATTGGTTTATAGATTCGACTCAACACAACGTGGTGAACAATTACCACGCCGTGTTGAGCTGTTATATCCCAAAAATTCAAAATTTCAAATATCTCATGGATTGATTAGGATAATTACCATAATATTGTTTAATTCTTTAAACCTAAATATTTTAAATTGTAATTTGATGTCCTCATCAATAATTATTTGACATGTTTATCTTCAAAATTTGTTTTGATGATAAATTGAATGCCAAGAAATTAGGAGGTAAATGTTTGACTAAGTTAATTATTTTGTAGTTAATATAATTAATCAATTTTATGTTTAAAATAGTTAATTTGAATATATTAATTGTACTTAATAATTAATTGTTAATTATTTGGAATTTAATCTTTTAAAATTAAATGATTTAATTCGATATTAAAAGATTATGAAACCTTAGTATTTTTGAAAATGTTTAAAACTACACCTTATACTATGTGTAATATTAAAAGTTTAAATATTTACTATATGTATAAGACAAGTCAGTCGAACCGCTAGTACGCCTGATTCACGAAACCGATCTATAAGGGAGTTTAAGGAAGCGGCCTATAAAATGACCGATATTAGGTATCCATTCTTACCCACCGCTCCCTTGATTGGTGGAGGGCCGTTAGCCGAACGGGTTTAATAGGACACTTAAATCTCATTAATAAGTATAATGGAATAAATAAAGTAACTAAATGTTTTATTAAATTCTCAATCTTAGTTACTCTAGGAAAATATGAATTTGATATTAATCCATGAAATTGCACATTACACTTTATATAAGTCGTTAGTGGAGCATGTATGGTTAAACGGGACACTAATATGGACTAATAAAGGGTGGAAATGGGTGTATCGTAAATTATCATTGATTAATAGAGCGTGTATGGTTAACCAGCACATTAATTAGGTGATAAATGACATCGAGAGTGTCAAGCTAATTTGCATAGTTATTCACACCTTATTTGTGATCATCGGTATCCCAGTCACAAATGGAAAGGGCATAATTGAGATTAAACATGCCATTGAATAGTTAAATGAATCTCAAAAGATCTAGGAATTTCATTTAAAACCTAATTCATTTAATTTTTTTTTTCGTGGTGAAATTGGTAAATCATCATTTACCTACCTTTAAACTATTTGCAATTAGATTAAGGAATCCCTCTTCTGAATTATGAATTAGTTAATTTGATCCTAGCCTTAATATTTCATTTGGGTGTTAGATTGAGTATTTTCATATCTAATAAAAACTTGTCCTTCTTCTTTTTAAGATGTCAACTTCCAATAATGTTTTTGGTTCCTCCAATAACAACAACTCCTCCAACCACTTCTCTCTCTTGAGCATCTGCTCAAAAGTCACTTTTGATGGCTCCAATTATAATGTTTGGATGTGTAACATTAAGATGGCTTTTGCGCTTCGTGGACAAGGAATATGTTCTCAAGAAAGAGTTAAATGAGATTCATGAAACAACTACTACTCTTGAGGAAATAGTTGACAAAACATGCTTGTGACATTGTCGTCTTGGACATGTCAACAATTAAACGCATTGCCCAACTCCAAAAGGATGGAGTGATAGAATCATTTGACTTAAGGTCGGATGATACGTGCGAATCTTGTTATCTTGGAAAGATTACTAAATCACCTTTCACTTGATCTTGTGAAAGGGGTGAAGGATTGTTAGATCTCATACACACAGATGTGTGTGGGCCCTTCATATCCACCACAAGGGATGCAAATCGATTCTATATGACTTTCACTGATGATTATAGCAAATATGGATATATCTACTTAATCAAGCATAAGTCATAAACCTTTGAAAAGTTCAAAGAGTTCAAACATGAAGTCAAGAATCAATTGGGCAGGAAGATCAAGATGCTTGGATCTGATAGAGGTGGTGAGTATCTTAGTATTGACTTCCACGGCTATCTTAAGGATTGTGGAATTGTTTCAAAATTAACACCTCCTAGGACACCATAACTTAATGGTGTGGCTGAGAGGCATAATCGAACCTTGTTAGCCATGGTTCATTCCATCATGAGTCGAGCTTCACTTCTAATCTCATTCTAGGGGTATGCCTTCGAGACTGCCGCCCGCATTCTTCATCTTGTCCC